CCCGTTGCCCCCCCCCCCCCCCCCCCAATATTCCTGACACAATGCCTCCCCTGCCCCCACCCCATCCTGAACTCCAAACTTGGCTCTCCACAGTACTGCGCTGCCTGGGTCTGGCCACCCGGACAGTCACCAACTTCAACTCTGCACATGACACTGACACGTCCCTCACGATGGACATCTACTTTGATGAGAACATGAAGCCGCTCGAGCACCTGAACCATGATTCTGTTTGGTGAGGCTGGGGCTGGCCTGCCCATCCCCGCCGAGAAACCGGCGCCTGAGACAGAAGGGAGTTTCACACCCGTCCCTCCCTCCGTTCCTTCCAGGAACTTTCACGTGTGGAATGACTGCTGGATGAAGCGGCCGGATCTGCCCTCCGGCTTCAATGGCTGGCAGGTTGTGGACGCCACGCCCCAGGAGACCAGCAGCGGTGAGACCCTGCCTGGCCCCTGGTTCCCACCTGGCCCCCTCCCCTGCTCCCAACTCTAGAGCATCAGCCCTGGGCCCAGCCTGAGAGCTAAGTCTTTACCCCATGGCTTCTTAAATGGGTTTATCAACTGAATCACCATGGGGCCATTAGTTTATTTTCACCCTTCTATACAACTATCTATTTGCTTAAATATTATTTATTTATAGTAGCTCACATTTATTTATTGCAGTTAATATATTTAGGGTAGGCCAAAAGATTCAAGAGTATTTAGTGAGAGATTTCCTTCTGCACAGCACATCCACTACTCACACTTGCTTTTTTTATGTTTATTTTTGGAGAGGTTTTTGCTATAGGGTGCGAGCACTTGCCAGACAGACAGAGAGACAGAAAGCGAGAAATCACCCCCTAGGGGGGATGGCCATGCTGCAATTCCTTCTCCTCCGTTCTCCTCTCAGGACCTTGGGCATGCATGCACACACACTTAACGTGTTTTAAGCCACCAGGTTCAGGATGCAAACCGCGGTCGATTACATGGGAGTCTAGCGACATAGCCTTTACGCTAACTGCTGGTCCCATCATACTTGCTTTTTTCACTTTTAATATATCCTACAGATATGTATTCAAAGAACCTTTTATTTATATGCATATCTATACATATATTTTAGATATTTTTGCTATAATATGTGTGTGTTGTCGCCAGAGAGATAAAGAGGGACAGAGAAACAGAAAGCAAAAACTCAACATCCAGGGGGTTTGTCCACACCATAATCCCTTCTCCTCCATTCCCCTTTTGGGATTTTGGGCATGCACACACATGCACCCAGTCTGTTTCAAGCTGTCAGGTCCAGGACTTGAACCACATGTGGGAGTCCAGAGCTTTAACCACTATACCACCTGCTGGCACTTATTTATATATTTATATAAAATTTTATTATTATTATCATCATAATCTTCTTTATATTACATTGGATATATATTTTTTAAGTTAAAAAAGTCATTATATGGCCAGCAGCATGGTGGTTCAGGCACTGGATCTCACATGGCCAAATCATGGTTCAAATCCTGGACCTGGTGGCTTGAAAAATACGCCAGGTGTGTGTGTATATGTGTGTGTGTGCCCAAAATCCAGGAGAAAATGGAAGAGAAGGGATTACAACATGGCCATCTCTACTGGGAGATGCTTTGTCACTTTCCCCCTCTCTCTCTTTCTCCAGTGAGCACACTCCCCCATGGCAAAAATATTTAAAAAAAAAAAAAAAAAAGTCGCTATTATAAGTAATTCCTGTCTGGAAGAAAAAAGTATACAACTGAATAACATAAAATGCAAACATTTTCTATTTTTCATATTTTCTCAGTTTTTGTTTGTTTGTTTGTTGTCTTTAAGTTTCTAAAGGGCAAGTGTGCTTGCCAGAGACTGGGAAAGAGAGGGAGAAAGTACCCTCCAGTGGGGTGTTGTCACACCATAATCCCCTCTCCTCCATTTTTCCATCCAGTTGGAATTTCGGATGCACACATGCTTGATGTATTTTTCCAGCCACCAGGCTTGGGAATTCAAACCATGGTCAGCCATGTGGAATCCAGTTTTCCTTCATCATTACACTATGGGGCTGGCCCTGGTTTGTTTGTTTTCAAGTAAATTTCTAGGTCCCCGCTCTGCCAGATCTGACTTTCCAGGACAGATTCTAGCTATCTATATGTCCAGAAGTTCCCTTGGTGATTCTGAAGATCAGTCAGGTTTGGGACCCCCTGTAAGCCTAGTGAGGCACCTGGGAAACAGTGGCCCAGAGAAGTGGATTGACTTTGTCCGGAGCATAGAGCAATAGGTCAGCAACACAACACATCTGGGCTTGGTGCTCTCCCTTTCTCCAAGCTCCTCTCCTGTGTGTTGCTCACTATGAGTTATCTGTACAATATTTGTACAGTATTGAAAATACCAGGGCTCAGGTTCAAAGAAGAAAATAGCCTTTATCACCCAGTCCGAAGATTGTCACTGTTGACATAACATAACCCACCAGGCGCTTTTGTGCTCACATGTTTCATGTACATTCTGTTCTCAAACAGATTTCCCCACTCCTTCCAACCTTGACACTCCAACCCCAGGCGGCCAGGCCTGCCCCTCTGGCAGCCTTTCTTCCAGCCTCTCCCTTCCTCTCCCTGGCCTGAAAGCCCTCACCTAGGCTGAATTCCTCCTCTTCCCAGATGCCCTCCCTACCTGTGATCTATGTGAATGGTGCCCCCTGAGTCATGTACCCTGCACTGCCTGCAATGCTGGAACAGACACAGAGATCTGAGTTCTGGTCCCAGCTCTGACAAGTGATGGGGTGGCTGGCAGGCAGGCAGGGAACTGGGGACAGTCAGTCTGGGGCTGGATTCCAGCTTGATCACTTTTTTTTTTTTTTTTTTGAGAGTTGTTTTGTTGTTGTTTTCCCTATAGGGCATGTGTGCTCACCAGAAAAGACAGACAGAGACAGAGAGACAGAGCAAGAAATCGCCCCTCAGGGGGCTGGCCACCACAATCCCTTCTCTTCCATTCTCCCCTCGGGATCTTGGGCATGCATGCACACATGCCCGGCATGAGTTGAAGCCACTGGGCCCAGGACTAGAACCGTGGTTGACTACATGGGAGTCCAGCAACATAGCTATTACGTCAACTGCTGGTCCCAAGCTTGATCACTTCTTAGAAGTGTGATCTTTGACATGTACCTCGCACCTTTCCACTTTGGTGTCTTGTATATAACGGGATAATATGTGCTATATAGGGTGTTGAGAGAATTAAATGAGAGATCATTTATCGTAGAGGATGAGCAGCATGCTTGGAACATAGTAGCTGCTCAGTAAAGATTAGTTCCTTCCATTATCTCTGGATCTTACTGTTAAGAGATTTTGGCATCTTCTTCATCTTGCTGTTTTTTTCCCTGGCTGTAAAGGAGGCCATTGTTTAGGGTGTTATCTATGATTCTTTCCTGTTGGGTAGGCCTCACTTCTAGATCTGTCCTTTCTTGCCAGAGTGCTTTCTGCCAGCTCATCTCCTCCAGAAATCCCTTCTGAGTATGGCCCACCAGGACCCCCTCTCTGCTCCCCATTAGAGAGATCACAACAGGCTGCATAGCTGAGATGTCGTTCTGGATATTTCCAGAATGGTGATGGTGATATCCTTTCTTGTCCAGCCAGCAGGCACAGCCACCATGGGCTCTGGGTTGGTCTTGATAAAGGATGTGGGGTTCTGTCCTCGAGAGGTCACAGACAGTAGCCATCCATCCTCAGCCAGCCAAGAAAGAGCTTGCCACTGACTTGGTTATCAAGGCAGGCTTGTCCACAGGTCCACCTGTGCCCACGTCCTCTGGAACAACAGTCTGGGCTGAGGAAAGCCAACTGAGAGCCAAATGGAATTGTTCTCCTCTTCGTCTTTCCTTCCTGGGTTGGACTGGCTGTTGACTGGCTGTTTGGGTGAGGGCTATTGGCCTTGTCCCAGAAGTCACCAGGAACAAGGCCTGGATGTGTGGTTTGGGGCCCTGCACGGTCTTTCCCCAGGGCCCCTCTCAGTGTCCTCAGATCTCTCACCTCTGTCCTACCTCACTCCCTAGGCATCTTCTGCTGTGGCCCCTGCTCTGTGGAGTCCATCAAGAATGGCCTGGTGTACATGAAGTATGACACACCCTTCATTTTTGCTCAAGTGAGGGCTGGGTTCCGGGAGCCTTCCACTTCCAGACAGTCTGGAGTGACCAGAGCACTGGCTTTAGTCCTCAGTTCTCTGGTCCCGACTTCCCTGCTAACTGATTAGCTGTGTGACCTTGGGCAAGTCACTCATTCTACAAGTCTTAGTTTCCTTGATTGTAAAGAGAAGATAATAATGACTGCCTTGCTTCCCGTACTCAGGATCAAAAGAGATAATGGGTATGGGACTGCTTCCTAAGTTGTAAAGCCAGTGAACGAGTAGAAGCCATTACTGTTATTAATGCCAAAGTGCACTGCCAGGAGCCTCCCAGCTGGCTTCCTCTATGGTCTTTGGAAAGACTTTTTTTTTTTTCTTTTTCTTTTTTTTTTTAGTTTTTTGCTATAGGGAATGTATGCTCACCAGAGAGAGACAGAGAGAAGGGAAGTAAGAAATCACCCCCCTGAGGGGGCATGGCCATACCACAATTCCTCCTCCTCCAGTTGCCTCTCAGGATTTTAGGCACACATGGACTTGCATCCTGTGTGTTTTTCAAACTACTAGGTCCAGGACTTGAACTGTGGAGTTGGCCTTGTGGGATCCAGTATCTCAACCACCATGCCACTGGCTGGCTTTTTTCCTGTTCTTTGGCCTTGTCTAGCTTAGCTGGGATAGTCTCCCAGTGGTGCTCTGCCAGGATGCTCCTGGAATCTGAGGAAGGCTGCTGAGGGTCAGGCCCACACTCATTGGCTCACCCCTTGGTCCCCTGCAGGTGAATAGTGACAAGGTATACTGGCAAAGGCAGGATGATGGCAGCTTCAAGATTGTGTACGTGGAGGAGAAGGCCATTGGCACACTCATCGTCACAAAGGCCATCAACTCCAACATGCGAGAGGACATCACTCACCTCTATAAGCACCCAGAAGGTACCACTCCCCCAACCCAGCCATCTCTGAGCCCCTGCCCGGTGTTCCTGCCTAGTGCTCTCCCACCTCAGCTGGAGCAAGGACCTCACCTTTGACCCTCCATCCCCAGGCTCAGAAGCAGAGCGGAAGGCCGTGGAGACGGCAGCTGCCCATGGCAGCAAACCCAATGTGTATGCCACACGGGACTCGGCTGAGGATGTGGCCATGCAGGTGGAGGCACAGGACGCAGTGATGGGGCAGGACCTGTCAGTCTCTGTGCTGCTGACCAATCGCAGCAGCAGCCGCCGCACTGTGAAGCTGCACCTCTACCTCTCAGTCACTTTCTACACCGGTGTCACTGGGACCATCTTCAAGGAGACCAAGAAGGAAGTTGTGCTAGCACCAGGAGCCTGTAAGTGCCCCTTCTCAGCCCTGCCCGGGGATGGCTGGGCACCTCGAGGCTGTGGGATACAGAGACCCCAGGAGCAATGGGGACACCTGGGGCAGGCCATATGTGGAGAATCAGGTCTTGGTGACACCATGTCTCTACTCCCCAGCGGACCGTGTGGCCATGCCTGTAGCCTACAAGGAATACCGGCCCCACCTCGTGGACCAGGGGGCCATGCTGCTCAACGTCTCAGGCCACGTCAAGGAGAGTGGGCAGGTGCTAGCCAAGCAGCATACCTTCCGTCTGCGCACCCCCGATCTGTCCCTCACCGTGAGTGCCGTGCATGGGGCATAAGGGTGGGCAGGGAGTAGTGGACAGGGGCTGAGGGAAACCAGAGGAGAAGGGGAGAGGGTGCTAACCTGGAGCAGGTGGGCTGGCTGAGCCTTCCAAGGAGAAAAAGGTCAAGGATTGGCTCTGGGCCCTTGGGCCTCAGCTTCCTCCTCTGTACAATGGGATCTCATATCCCTGTTCCGTGGTAGTCTTAGCTGGGGATTGGGTTGGAATTTCCCCTTGGACTTTGAGGAGACTTCTTTAAGGGCAGGGGTGTAGGACTCAAGTAGAGACTTTGATTCTAAGGAGCTCTTCCTCCTGGTGCAGCGTATGATCCTGTGGGTTTGGCCAAAGTCTCTGACGTGGGGGGTGGGGCTCTTTCTCTCTCAGTTACTGGGAGCAGCAGTGGTTGGCCAGGAATGTGAAGTCCAGATCGTCTTCAAGAACCCCCTGCCTGTCACCCTCACCAACGTCGTCTTCAGGCTCGAGGGCTCTGGGTTACAGAGATCCAAGATCCTCAATGTTGGGTATGTGTGTCCTCTCCTGCCCCTGCCCTGGCGAGGCCTTCCTCCCAGGCTGTCCCCAGCTTTGCTTCCTGTCTCAGTCAGGAAAGGTTTGTTCTGTCAGGACCCAACAAGCAGCTAGCCGGCAATAACTACGGACTGGGTTCACCATCCAGCTTAGGGACCCCTGCTGTGTCCCTGCCCAGCCCTGCCATCTAATTCGGGATCTAAAACTCCACATAGGAGTCATCAGTAACTCATCCATAACATTCGCCCAGCACCGAAGAGTTGACCAGGCACTTTCAGGAATATTATTTCACTTGAAGACCACAAAAATCTCTTAAAGTACTTTAGAGATCATTATATAATTAAGAGCAAAGCTTTGGAACCCTAAATACCTGGGTGCTACCTTGTCCTTCCTCAGGAAAAGCAGAGAAGGCCAGAGGTTGACCTTTTAGATCAGCTTTCTGGGAGCAAGTGTTCCTTTTATTTTTCTTTTTTCTTTTTTTTCCTATTGGGGTCCTTCCTCAGGAAAAGCAGAGAAGGCCAGAGGTTGACCTTTTAGATCAGCTTTCTGGGAGCAAGTGTTTCCTTTTCTTTTTTCTTTTTTTCCCTATTGGGCACATGTGCTTGCAGAATACAGACAGAGGCAGAGACAGAGGGGAAGGGAGATAGCACCTCTGAGGGGATAGGGGTGGGGGTTGGCCACTCCGTGATCCCTTCTCCATTCTTGTCTCAGGACTTGGGCACGCCTGGTGTGTTTCTCAAACTGAAGGGTCCAGGACTCAAACCATGCAGTCCGCCATGTGGGATCCAGCTGCCTTAACCTCCACATTATCTGTTGGCCCTGCACTTCCCTCTTTAGGTAGAGGGTTCCTGAGGGGGAACAATGGCCTGTGGGAGGGGGAATAGGGGCAGGTGGCGGGTCCCTGCCCACCCCTCCCCATTGCACCTCCTGGTAGTGACCGTCTCTCACTGTTAGGCCCAAGCTGAGACACTGGCTATCCTGATCCTTGCCCCAGCCTGGGCCCTGGGAAATGTTGTTGCATGTCAGAAAGGAGCATTTTCTTCATGTCATCCTACAAGGGTCTCGGGCAGCTCAGAGAGTGGAGTTTGAGGCTCCCTTCCCCTGCCCTGCTAGCCCCACGTCATCTCTCAGCCACACAGCACAATGAGGGAGGGAGGTCCCTCTTCCCTGAGGGTCCATTAGAGCTGGACTCCTCTTGGTAGCCCTACCAGACCTTTGCCTCTTGCCCTGCCTGGAAGTGAGGAGAGGACACTGTGTTGAGCATCGGGAGACCTGGCCCTTCCTCAACTGTGGGGCTTGTATGAGTCTGCCCGACTTGAAGGCCTCAGTCTCCCCACAGTAAATGAGAGGGCTGGATGATTGTTTCTTTTTTAAGACTTATCTTGTTTACTTATTTATTTATTTATTTTAATTTGACCAGAGAAGGACAGGGAGAGAGAGAGAGAGAAAGTGAGAAAGCAAGCGGCCAGGTCCAGGACTCAAACTGCGGTTGGCCACGTGGGAGTCCAGCACCCTTAACCCCCACACCAGAGTGGATGATGGTTTCTCAAGGGGCATCCTCCTTAGACATTCTGTGGGTCCTCAGCTGCTGTAAGCCCAGGCCAGGGCCTCCAGAATAGTCAGGAGCCTTGAGAGGGCTGACCCTGGACTGGTGGTTGAGCTATATTAGGTCCCAGATGGGTGTTACTTTGCCTCTCATTTGCACATCAAAGGCTGTGGTATGGAACCCATCATACCACAGGGAAGGTGTGCCGCCCAGCGTGGTGACTGGCCACTTAATAAACATTCCAGAACTTACTCCTCCAGAAGACTGTTGTCACCACCAAAGCAGTCACCCGGGAGCTGGAAGGCTATTCCAGACCTTTCTCGGGAAGTTCCCCTAGAACCTGAATCATACTCTCTAGAATATCCTTAGAGTAGCCAATCTCCCTTCTCCAGGGGTGGATCTGGCCATGGGGAAACACCCCGAGTCCCCTAGCGCTGAGACAAATAAGGTAGCTGAGCAGGGGGTAATAACGCCCTATGCAATCAGAAATGAGGCACGTGTAAAGGACAGGGGAGGTCCATTCGCCTGTGTGTATGACCATGTGTGTGTGTGTGTTCGTGCACACACGCGTGCATGGGTGTGTGTGTGCGTGTTTTAAATAGCTCTGAAGAAACATCCAAAAGGAGTTTTAAGAAACATTCACAGGGGCCAGCAGTTAGCGTAATGGCTATGTTGCTGGACTGCCACGTAGTCGACCGCGGTTCGTGTCCTGGACCCGGTGGCTTAAAACTCAAGCCGGGCGCATGTGCGTGCATGCCCAAGATCCCGAGAGGAGAATGGAGAAGGGATTGTGGCGTGGCCATCCCCCTGGGGGGTGATTTCTCGCTTTCTGTCTCTCTGTCTCTCTCTGTCTGGTGAGCGCACGCGCCCTATAGCAAAAAAAAAAAAAAAGAAACATTTACAGCCCGGAAACCTGGTTAAACAAGTACACAGTTGAAGGGCCGCTCATAGGGTTGTCTAAGTTCTTGCGTTCCTATCAGGAACAGGCACAGTTACAGGCACACTCATTCCAGACTGGACAAAGCCTGCCAAGCTCAGTTACAGGCACGCTCCAGCTTTAGCAGCCCATGCGTACTCAGCCTGAACTCACAAACAGAGAAGTGGCGAAGGCCTCCTCTGACTAAGACCAGGCCAGGGGGAGATGTGGACGTTCCCATCTGGAATCTGGAAAGCAGTTTCTCTTGGGATCTGAAATATCACAGCTCGATTTCATCATGAGTTAAATGAAAGCAGTTTCTCTTGGGATCTGAAATATCATCATGAGTTAAACAGACTTTGGAAGGCTAGCCTGAACCTGGACAACCTTTAACTTTGGGTCTATGGAAAAGTGGGCACAAATTAGAAACACAAATTTATAGCCAGTCAGAACATAGTCTACACATTTAGTTGTAGACTTACAGACTTCCCATCATACTATATTACATACTGTAATATATGTTTGTGTGTGTGTGTGTGTGTGTGTATATATACACATATATATAATGTGTATATATGTATGTGTGTGTGTGTGTGTGTGTGTATATATATATATAATGTGTATATATGTGTGTGTGTGTGTGTATATATATATATATATATCCATCCTTCCCTTCATGGAGTTCAGTATACTGTCAAAACCATTTGATTCCCCCTCTTTTTTGGGGGGGAGAGGTTTTTGCTATAGGGCATGTGCGCTCGCCAGAAAGACAGAGACAGAAAGAAGACAGAAAGTGAGAAATCACCCCCTGGGGGATGGCCATGCCACAATCCCTTCTCCTCTATTCTTCTCTCAGGATTTTGGGCATGCACGCACATGTGCTCAGCATGAGTTTCAAGCCACTAGGTCCAGGACTCGACCGAAGCCAACTGCATGGGAGTCCAGTGACCTAACCATTATACCATTTGCTGGTCCCTCCCCCTCTTCATTTTATATACACGTTTATTTTATTTCTCAGAAAGGAAGGATCAGAAAAGATAAGTAACTTGTCCTAAACAACACAGCTAACAGGTGGTAGAGAAGTAATCATGCAGGGAAACTTCCAGAAGCAAGCTCTAAGCTAAATGCTTTGTCCCGTGGAGAGCTTGTCCTGGGTGTCAGGGACGTTGGCTCATTCCCTTTGAAGACTATGGTGATTGCACAGGGCCTGGCTCCAGAGTGACCCCCAAGGCAAGCTTAGGATTGAATAAGGGCTAGAGGTATGGGTTCAAGCAGAGGCAGAAGGGCAGATTCTAACAGCCATGAGCAGATGTGACAAAAATGCAGTCACATTTAGTGTATAAGATCCAACATGCAGATTGCAGGAGGAGCTCTGAGAAGGGCAAGGGTCATTTTCCTAGGGGCTGTAGGTGCTCAGAAGCCCTCACTGAGGAGCTGGTGTGAGCTGGGCCTTGAAGGAGGAGTAAGCCTTCACAACTGCCACCCAGGGTGGGGAGACAGAGCCGGGAGTTCATTCCAGACTAGACAAAGCCTGCAAAGCATGGCAATGAAGGTGCATTCATGGAGAGGGGAGGGCAGTCAGTGGGGCTGGTGGGCAGGAGGAATGGCAGAAGGTTATGAGGCTGACCAGGCAACAGGGGCTGAGTCAAAGGGAGCCTGTGTGTCCGGTGAGGGAATTGAGCCCTCTCCCTGTAAGCACCAAGGAAGCCAGCCTCGAAAGGTTATCTCTGAACAGTTAGCAGAACAGAATGGGGGAAGCCAAGTGGAAGAACTTGGGATTCCTACGAGGTGATCTGGGAATAGATTTTCAAAAGTCCATTAGTAAGGGAGAAAATAAAGTCACTGAAGAGTACGTGCGTGTGTTTATGCACATGCCTCTCTTTCTCTCTCTCTCTCTGAGACACATGCCAATTTTTTAAAGAAAGTAATTTGACCAGACAGAGACAGAGAGATAGAGGAAGGGAAAGCAAAAAAGTAAGCCGCCAGGTCTGGGACTCGAACCATGGTCAGCCATGTGGGAATCAAGTGCCCTTAACCACCATGCCACCTGCCGGCCCCACACACCAATTTTTTAAAGGTGCCAATTTCTTCTTCTTGAGAAGAACTTTTCCTTTTTCCTCAGATAACAACTTTCCAATGTTTTGGTGTTCATTCTTTGGAAAGATGATCATGGTAGAAGATAATTTTTCTCAACTTACTTTTTTTTTTTTAAG